ATATATATATATATACGTAAGTTTATGTACAAAAATGGTTTTGTACCTAAAAACTAATTTGCTTCATACATCTTTCATGAATACTGTCATGTATTTATTTTGTTTTTTCTTAAAACAATTGTAGCCAAATGGAATATTACTGACCTCACCTACCGGATCACAATTTACACTAAGGATATGAGTAAAAATGATACCCTGTAAGTATTTCTAGTTTGTCCTTTTCTTATCGAATTAATCTTTATTAATTGAAAATTATCTAAAGAAATTGCCTCTTATTTTCTCTCTGTTCACTGCAATATTTGTCCTTTGTAGGAACGCAATTCACGATGCACTTAATAAGTGGGCCGATGTCTCAAAATTGACGTTTAAACATATTGATATATATTCCATTATGGAAATTGAATTTGTAACAGGAAAACATCCACCATGTCCCTATCCGTTTGATGGACCTGGTAAGTCATTATGAACATTTGTTTTTACTGATCATCTTGAAGACTATGTTAAAATATTTGTGCAACTATATAAATAAACGTCTTTTGCTAAATTTCTACGTGTAATTTGTAATTGTCTGAGTGGATATTAAAGAGAGTCGTTTATATAGTTTTGCGAAATAACATTATCTTATAGAGATTCATTGAATTTTATTTAATTTTAACGCACAATTCAAAAGAATTAAAACGTATGTTTCTCTTTGTATATTTGACACTTCTTATGTCTCTCTCTGTTTCAGGAGGAGTGATCGCCCACGCATTCTTTCCTTCGCGAAATCATTTTGGAGGTGACATGCATTTTGACGATGCTGAGACTTTCAAATATAAAACCGGTAAAGGCATAGTGCTTGTTTCGACGGCAATGCACGAAAGTGGACATGCATTGGGACTGGGTCACAGCAAAGAGAAGAGTTCAATTATGTATCCTTATTACCGTGGACAAACAACTCTTGGGAAAATTGATATAGAGAATATTCAAAAATTATATGGGAAACCCTAATAGACGAAGGTATGTATAGTGAAACGGCTCTTTACATTAGATTTTTCATTGATTCCAATTTAAGAAAGCAAAGAACCTTGTAAAGTTTTATAGAATGTCAGTGCGTATATAATTGAATGTTTTATTTGAGATAAGAGGCCATATTGTTACGTGTTGATGGTTGTAAGCTGAGAATTGAATTTTATCTTCTCCAATTCTGATTGGATTGATATCTGCATGTATGCATAAAATAAGTCACTAGATTTTGTTAATTGACTCTTATATATTCCAGTCAAAAATATTTAATGATTTTTCATGGTTGCTAAATATATAACATCTATTTTTGTATTTCAGACCCAGCGAAAGGATGGCCCGTTTCACGTTGCCAGTGACACAATAATTCATTTAAACTATTACAACGATTTCTAAGAAGGATTTCTTGTATCTTATTGAGCAAATAAAAATTATATCGTCAATTTCAGAGTGTCGCATTTTTTTCTCAATTTTATTTTTAGTGCTTTAATGTCAGGTGCTCTTTTAAAATATTTTCAACGATCGGGCTGAAACAAATACGACGGTGTTATTAGGGAGAACCGCAAAATATTGCATATATATATATATATATATATATATATACATATGGAATTAATTTTCCTTATGTTTTTCGATGTTTAACTATGTATGGAGAAGGAATATTCATACACATACTAGCAAAAACACACACGCACACACAATACACAAAAAATGGAGTTAGATCTATGAAGATACAGGGGTCATAAAAATATAAGAACGAAGACATCCTGCCTTCGCCCTTTCTCTGACCAATCTTAATTGTTTTATTACCCCTTAAGCAGAACACCAATTAAATAAGAAACATTTTAGTTACTACTACACAAGAAAGACAATGGTTAAACATCGAAAAACATAAGGAAAATTAATTCGTTTTAATAAAATGTGGAAATATCCACTCTTTGCCTGATGAAGTTCGTGAAACCGGAAACACGTGTAGCAAAAATATGGCAAATAAAATATGGTATAGTTTTTTAAAAAATCCATATTATAAAAAAAACGTTTACTGTTTCTCTCTTCTTTTTAATATATATGTGTGTGTGCGTGTGTGTGCATTTGTGTGTGTATTTGTCAATATATATATATATATGTGTGTGTGTGTGTGTGTGTGTGTGTGTGTGTGTGTGTGTGTGTGTGTGTGTGTGTGTGTGTGGTGGACTCTCAGCAACTCCTAATTCAACTGACAACAGACTCCAGTATATATGATTTGATTAAAGTGGTGAATGTTTTGTGCAGAACCAGCCACACTTTTTGAAGGGCCGATTACAGAGACCTGGTGCACTACTTGCCACAAGGTCCCCAAACAAGCTTCCGGAAGTTTTGAATTCAGAGATGTCCTTTTCCTAGACTAGTTGCCATCCAGTGCTATAGAACCCAGTCTGTCCTGCTATTTACCCATAGCTGGAGGGAGAAGAGGATTCACGCCTTTCCAAAGGCATTTAACACGTAATTGAATGTTATGGATTCGACTGAAGTCCGAGCCACTACCCACTACTTCACCGTACACACTAACACACGCACACACACGAACACACACACACACACACATATATATATGTATTTATTAACACACATATATATATGTATTTATTAAAACACACGCACATATATATATATATATTTATGTGTATGTGTGTGTGTGTGTGTTAATAAATACACATATACCTACGTTTTATGTGCAACACGAATTTCATTGTTTATCAAGTCATTGGGCACGAGATATCGCTTATTGTTTTTTTTTATATATATATATATATATATATATATATATATATATATATATATATATATATATGTGTGTGTGTGTGTGTGTGTGTATATATATATATATATATATATATATACACACACACACACAGGGTGCAATGGGAAAATTGTCGGCATTTTATATTTTTAATTGCGCGCATTCGAGTTGGGTTTTTTGTATGGAGCGCAGATTTTCTTAATCTTTTCCGATAAGCCCTTGACGCAATGGAGACAGACCGTGGCAGATTTCTGGTCTCCCTTCTTGTTCCTTCTGTTTCTAATTGCAGAATTGTTATGCTGATTTTATATTTGCGAGATGGTTATTATTCTGAAGGGTACATTCGATGCTGATCATTTCTTGTTGCGCCTTATGATTTTACATGGTGTTGTAGACATCGGGCAATCCCTTTCTTTACACCATATGGATGGTGGCACCTGAAGTCGAGATAAAGGATGGCTTGTGACATACAGATGCCTTGATTCTAAGGAACATTATTTGACAATTGTCTAGTTTTTATCACAAATATAAATTCTTAGATCAACTCCACAATACGTATTTTTCTTTACTAGTTCAAAAGTTTTCACCACTCGTCCTCAGCATCAGCCTTTCTTTCTTCCACCCGTTTCACTTCGAATATTCCTTTTACTACGATTGCTTCGTTCATTGCAAGGTTTAAAACTCGTAACAGCGTCGAAAACCAAAGACGAACAGGTGCTCCGAGGAAGATTTCTCTAAGATCAGCAAGGATATTAGGACGCCAGATCCACCAAACCACCCATTTCACTTCAAAGGGAACAGAGTCGTAATTCTAGGTTATAGCAGGTCACACAAAAAAACTAGATTTCAAAGTTAGATGACTTTGCTTTTATTCACCTGCAATGTATGAAAAACACGGACAGTCAAGATTTTGCTCAGCTTCTTATTCGTGAAGTTAAAACATTTTTACATATTTGAAGAATTTGTTGTCATACAGGTATCGCAATTAAACATCTTTTGTGAAACAAGAAAATGATTTCACAAATTTAGTGTTTGTTTGCATCAATGATGCTCATATTTTATGTAGACAAATTTTGGAACTGTTTCTCTTCTATAAGAATTCCTTGGTAGACAAATATTAAAATTTCGGAATGTTAATCTAGTTACTATATATAATTAAATAAAGAACAATGAAAGAAAAGTTGGTTTACTCTCCATTTCAACTTACACATAAAAAAGAAAACTGACAAATTGCTTCCATATTGAATAAGCATTTCCCTGCTACCAATTAATTTCACAAAATCTTAATAGAAATTAATAAAAATAAATTAGTTCCATACACAATATGAAGAGGATTATCAAATTGTATAATGAAAAGTTTTAAATGGTCAACCAGTTACCGACATAATAAAGTGTAATTGTAAGAAACGAGAGAATTACCCCTTCAATGGATAATGCTTAATGTATAATATCATCTACAAGACAGTAGTCAAATTTACCGGCATTCCCACTATGATATATAAATTGATTCTACGGAACGCGAATTTTAAGAGCTGTACTTCATTCATGAAACATTCTTGACCGTTTTATTGAAGTACATTTGGGAAATGAATGAAAATCAAAATTTGAGCCTGAATATAGTGTGGAATATAGTGAATATAATTATAAGCTAGAAATTAATCTTTACTGATTATTTCAGGTGGAGAAGCGAAAAGAAGCCAAATAATGACGACAAGATGGACCAGTAAAACATATTTTACATAATGTGGGTTGTTAATTCTATATAAGAATGGCTTCTAGAATTTTGAGTCTTTACTTGTAGTGATTGCTATGTAATATTTTTTGTTGTGTTTACCAAAATTTGTCTTACATTGTGTCTAAAATATTTAATATGTGAACAATATAGTTGGATTTGACTGAGATGATGGCAACTTATGAGTATGTCCAACTGCAAGTGATATCTGTTACTTGCTTGATTGATTCGTTTCATACAGCTTATCAACCCTTTGTAAGTTATTTAAAGCCAGCAAATATTCTTAGATTCTAAGAATCTTTTTGTGTAATATTAATAGTTTAGTGATACAGGTCTTACTAATTAATCAATAGCATAGGGGAAAGAGATGGATCCATACTTTTTTCCCAGGACTTTGAGCGTAAGTGAATATAACGAACCCAACTGGAATTGGAACTCGGCTCTCCGATTAACAATTCCGATCCGTTATCCTACCACACATCCAAGCTTACAGCACCAAGAAAACCCGAGCGGTAACCCATCTAGGTACTAACCACATTTAACATTGCTTAACTTCGGTGATCGTACTGGAAACGGCGTTTCAACGTGATTTGGCCGTAAGCCTTGCGTGAGGGAGGAGTTTCATTTTTTTAGTAGATGTGAATGTGTCAGATGAGTAAACCCCCCCTTCCCCCGACTTCAGAGACCGAATAAAAGTATTTCCCTCCCCACGTCTTATTTTTCGGAAATTGTGTTAGATAAAAATAAACATTTCATTAAAGAATTAGATGAAATGGTAATGGTCCATGACTAAAATCCAGTTAACTTCCTTTGCTACATGCCTACCTGTCTGATACTCTCTTTTCTTTCTTTCTTTTTTCTTTCTTTCTTTTTTTCTTTCTTTCTTTCTTTCTATTTGGATATAGGAGCAAAATATACACCAGGGTGCCTCTTTATGTCACTTAGACCTTAGAGGACTGATAACGTCTGGTTTGACCCGATGGGTCACAGTTCCAGTTGTTTCAGGCTTATGATAGTATTTGGGTGTGGCGCAGACCCCATGAGGCTACTGGATTACAATTGCAAACAGGACAGCGTACAGGTTGATATTGATTCGAAAGTGGTATGGGTAGAGTCCAAAGGGTATGAGTTGGGCCCGCTGATCCGTCTAAACATGTTATCCACAGGTTGCACTGCTTTGTGACCATTTATATCCATTCATGGAGACCCTGTGCTCCAGAATTGGGTTGTTCCAGCAGTACAATGCTCCGTGTCATCGAGTCCAAGTTGCCCAGAATAGGTTTGAGGAACACGACATGAACCCAGTTGATCATTTACGGGACGTCATGGAGAGATCTCTTCGCACGAATAGATCTCTCCATCACGACAGCTGAGGAATATATGACACTACATCTGTCAAAACACTTGCAGAATTTGATGCTCTGTCGTATTGCTGCACTTCGCCGGACTAAGCACATAACGAATGAATAATTGCTTCCATGATATGAATGACTTAATAACATCTAGTTCTTCAGTGTATATTTAATCTATTATTAATTCTGTCATGTCTGTTGGCAGTATAAGACCGATGTCAAACATAATTTGCATGCAACGCAAACATTCGATGTTGAATGAAATAAAGAACTTAAACTTTTACGTGTGAAATGTTCAATATATATATATGAAAACCACAGATTAATGAGATAATAGTTGAACTGGGCCATTTCATCTCTCATAAGGTAACAATTAGCAAGACTTACAGAAAAATGAAAGAATGCGTAATGCAGGTAATTATAGCTTGTAAAAGAAAGAAGAATAGCAAGTTTAGTGGTGTAGGATTATTAGTCAATAACACTCCGGGAAATATGAAAAGTTTCGATAGTATATTAAAATAACGAGCTTAGATAGTAATTACATTATATTAAAAAAATAAACTCAAAAATTAATCCAAGTATATGCACCAAGTTCAAAACCTTAAAAAAATGGAAGTGTTTTACGACGACATAAATAAAGTTCTAAAATACATCAGCGCGCAAGTAGTGGCAATTAAGAACGGCAAAAAATACTATAGGAGAATCAGGAATAGAAAGTGTCAAAATATCAGTTAACATCTGAGATGTTAACTGACACTTTAGAGTGATATCTTTACCCAGAGTAATTGCGCCGAGGTGAATGCAATCAACTCAGCTGGAATAGTAAATAGCGTGATCATACGAAGGACTTTTCTAGCAAGCCGTGATAGAGGATAGCATAGCTACAATGTTTTTGGGAGTTTTAAAAAGGATTTTCTCCAGGGTCGAACTTTGACATGTTAAGGCCCTAAATTATATGAAATTGAAGGCATTTCTTTTAAAGAGATTTAAAATAACTATATATGATTATTATTTATTAACGATATATAATGAACCATTATATAATTTTTGATGATTTAGTGTTAACGAATAAAATTAAAAAATATATTTATAAAAACGAGGTCCCGAGGGTGCGTTGCCTTAAGATATAGTTTATTTACCTTATTTATCCATCTCGAGGCGGTGTAATGGTTAAAAGCTTGCCTCGTTAGAACACTGACGACTGAGGAGTGAGTTTGATACTCACTCGGTGGTCCATACTTTCGGCCTTGTGCTACATCTAAGCTACGTTTGGAAAATCATTTTCGGCACCTTGCCGTGGTATAATGGTTAGCAAGCTTCTCTTGCTAGAATAATTACGACTGAATAGTGAGTTCGATCCTCACTGGGTGCCCCATACTTTCGGCCTTGTGCCACATCTAATCTACGCTTGGAAAATCGCTATAACTTACTGAGATTATGGGTAAGTCCAACATTGATTTTTTTTTTGCCTAGCAGGGAACTCATAATGGCCATACTCTGATTAATTCACTGTATTGGTTCTTGGTCTATGTTTTTGCCAGAGCTAAAAATTTCTAATATTGATAGGCTTTTAACAATGCTCTGAGGCAATTTTTACCATTTTCCCTGACCAGCACCTTTTCTAAAAAGACCAGGACATTGTTAATTTCCAAAAGATTGTATAACTTGTATTGATCATTCTGTCAATTTTATCTTTCTCGGTACACATGACAGCGAGAAATCAGTATGTCTATAGTAATTGAAGATTGAAGTATATACATGGCAACAGGAATAAAATCCTAAAAAAATATACGCTTATAATTTGACCATACGTTCTACAATTTAGAACAACTTTTCATATACACTGGTTTAATTATGTTACGGAGACTTGTCTGTAGTGTTTTTGAATAAGCAACTGATTTATAAGCAATGAAGATGACAACGAAAAAACAAATGAAATTTTCTGTTGTTGAAATAGTCTTTATTTGCTCAATAAAATACAAGAATGCATTTTAACGAGTCGTTTCAATAGTATGAATTAAATGATGAGCAAGTCGCCAAGATAAACGGTATGTAATTTCACTATCTGAAATATAAAGAAATAAATGTCATATATTTGTCGCCTATAAAATCATCAAGTATTATTGAGTTAAATATATAAGATTCAAATAACACGTAACTTAATTTTATACACAGATTTTAATAGGATTCCTATCAAAACTGATTAACATATTATTTGTAACAGTCTATCTTTAAAACCAGCTAAACGTAAAGAGATGTCATTTTGTTTAAGTTAAAACATTAAATCATAGATATTCTGGCATTATATGTGACTTTACAATGGACGTCTTAATGTTTTCTTAAACTGGGTATCAATGAAAATTCTATTAAGAGAAGCGACTTCAATATACATACCTTTTTGCGCTCTGGTTAACCGTATAACTTTTTAATCTTATCTATATCAGTTTCACCAAGTTTTGTTTGTCCAGTGTACCAAGGAAACATGATTGAACCTTTTGTTTCATCGTGCCTCAATCCCAAAGCATGGCCACTTTGGGGCAAGGCTACCGAAAGAAACTCTATGCCTTTACCTTCTTTATATTTGAATGTTTCTGCATCGTCAAAATGTATGTTACCACCCGTAGGATTTTTTGATGGATAATACGCATGCGCTAGAACTCCCCCTGAAATAGAGAGGCAATTATGATCAGTTTATACAAATCGCCACATTCATTTTATATCAGTCGAAATATATATTAACCTTTCGTAAAAATATGAATTCAACGGTGAAATTTATATAATGAAAAAAATATATATGGACGATTGTTTACGACAATATCACGTTCTCATCCGATCTCCGAAGATAAGCAACGCCGAACCTGGTCAGTAGTTAGGTGGGTGACCACTAGAGAATGAATAACAGGTTCTGTAAGCTTAGACATAATAGTTAATAGTTCGGAATTGAAGAGCCGAGTTCGAATTCCAGTCGGCTTTGCTACATTGATTTACACGCATATACCCTTGGCCGATTAGAAACCGAAAAAAAAACATAACGGCCAAACGCGTCGCATCTGCCTCTACCAACGTCCAATGAGCCAGCGGTTTAGGGTAATGGTCCATTCCTCCTCAAGAACGGAATCTGTGGAGGGCCTACGTTCGACAACGGACCTTCACAGGCTGAGAAGACAATATGTTCAATTTCTGAGTCACCAATTTCAAGTAGAGATTTAGAGAAATATACGGATATATCTATTTGCATAAATATTGGTACTCATATTTCACGATTATCAACAGGTAACAAATTGTAATCGCTCAGAAACAGAATTTCTTTTAAGAGGAGAGAATTTAAAAAAAAATAGCAATCAAAAAATGAGAAATTATTGAAAATATTCTTACCAGGTCCATCCATGGGTACTGGACAGGGTGGATGTTTGCCTTCTACAAAACTAAGTTCTATAATGGGGTGGTCTTTAGTTTTTTTAATTGTCAAATTTGTACGTGATGCCCAATGTCTAAGTGCTTTTCTAAAGACAACACTGAAAAAAACAAAACATTTCAATTAAGATAGAGACAAAAAAGAGAGAATTTTTTATCTGTTTTTCAGAAAAAGATAAATAAACTAACCGTGACATATGCCTCGGCATCTTCTCACTTTATTTTATGTAAAAGTAGGTGATTTCCGTAACATTTCATTTTTCTAGATTTGTTTCGAGAATAAAAGAGAAAAGCAAAAGAATGTATGTTATAAATAGAACAGTATTCAAGATAATGCTATGTTTATTGCACAACATTTGTGTATTTATATATGACTCCCTTATTTACATTATTTATATTATTTCCATGTTTGTTGTTGTTATCACAACATTACGGGTTTTGTCGTGCCCGGCTTTCATTAGATGCATGTTGATCCTGATAACCTATATGGAATTTCGAACTGAAATCTTTATGCAATCTACGTGACAACAGCTTAGTAGATCAAAGCACTGGTTCGTGAACTTATTGACATAATAATTGTGAGTTCGATCCCCGGGCAGGGCAGTGTGTAGTTGGACTCAGTGAAAAAAAGTGCGAGCAATAATCGAGTAATAGTAAAAAATAAAAACTAGACAATATATCCCTAGACGTGGGCAATGGAACTTGATCAATCTACCCTCGGATATTTAATAAAGTGTTCCGTTCGAAACTCCTTTTAGGTTACCCGGATCGCCATATACCTGATGAAGGCCAGAGGACAGAACAGCTGAAACGTCGTTATTACATCAACAAACA